GTATGTAGATATTTCAGCAGCATAACGATTGTAAATCAAACATAACCAATGCATGTATTTAACAACTAAGCATTCTAATAATACCAATGTTCGAATTCGTATTCTCAACCTACTTACTTAGCCTAACGTYTGYCCAAYWATGRCARCCCAAACTAATAGCATCACTATGTTTATTGAAATATATTACCTTAAACCTACCAAACGTATCTATTAACCAAAGTAATGGTTTTAGAAAACTTACATGATACCTAGCAGCTTTCGGGTAACTGAACTGAGGAGGATCGGTAGGCGGTTCGRACGAACCTTGATCGAACTTCCGGTTCGTGCAGTGAGTGCGCTCAAACACCTCAGTAGSAGTAGGCTCACGACCCAGTACTTTTGTCTACATTAGACAATTAGGTTAAGTTGTTACTAACATAAAGAACGAATTACGTTTTCAAAAAAGATTAGATACTYACCATCYTGTCTCGATGTTGTGCCATACTAATCGATCCCCCAGTGTGTCTGGACGACACCCCCTCAAACTCGGTGTTCCAATTGGCCCGATTGATCCTGGATTTCCTTTTCCAAGAATCGGTATCCCAGACCTGTTAAAAATAGAGCACATATATAAGGCGAAAGGCGGTACATATGGCAGTTCGAAAAGCTCACAATAGAGATGCATACCGTGTCAATCATCTGTAGCCAATACCTGTCTGGTATCTATACGGGATGGTGTAATCTAATCCGTGAGAAGTCCTCACCATCCCATTGTTGATCGCCAGGATAGGCCTGTGCCACGGCCCAATCACGTGCGGAGCTCATCCAATCAGAGTACCTGTTGTGCATGGCTTTGGTCCATAAATCATGAACCGTGTCATCCAGCTCAGGTTCCCATTRGAACTTAGCCTACACACAATGTTTGTATAAATGTAAAAACAATAACCTTGTATGTATAATTATATTAAAATGGTACACCAACCCTAAAGCGCTGGAACATCAAGTCACGTGCTTCCTGAGGTACTTCCTTCCATCTATGCCATGGACCAGCAAAGGAAGACCTGAAGATAGTCGTCATCTCTCGGATAATATGGGCATCTTTAAACCTGTACAATTAAACAAATATTTTCAACACAAAGACAGTCATATTAATTTATTATGTAATACAAAGTCTTATACCACATCTACTTACCCATGGCCTAACAAAGACAGATGTCTTCGGTGGCTCGGATGACTCGGTGTCTGCATCTCTAGGTTGGGGCCTCTCCCCGAYCCCGAACCTGTCGAGGCTGGGGTCGCCATGGCCTCCTCTTGCTCATCTAAACCGCGAAAAGCGGTGTCCGAAAACTCCACAATGTCATCGGCGTGGGCAGAATTGCTACCCCTACCAGACATGGGGCTGCCACGACTCCCATGACGGCCTCTAACACGCTCTCGGCGTGACATCTCCTGAAAAAACAAACATTATATTATATCATGAAAAAAGATAATGACAAATCGCGATTATATATGTACAATTGTAAAATAAGCATACAGAAGACAAGCTACTCATAAGAAGAATGATCAGATAACATCGGTTCATCTTCATCATTTGAATCATCATCTATGTTTTCAAATTCTGGTTCATCTTCGCTATCTTCGTTCGATTCGTCGCTATCTTCGTTCGATTCGTCGCCACCATCATCTTCATTTATATTATGGAGTATGTTTACCTCCCCTGTGGCAAGACGAACATCATCGAGCTCGTTTCCTAATGAGAACGTTGTATGAGTTACCCTTTCGTTGACTTGAAAGACTTGTTCTTCATCCACATGATCATTGTTT